ATCCTCCAAACCCACACCCAAGAAAATCATGGAATATACCCTCTGGTAAACAGCCACATAACTATGGAAAATCACCATTGTTAATGGGAAAACTCACTATAAATGGCCATTTTCAATAGCTATTTTGACATAACCAGAGGGTAATCCTCCAAACCTCAGAAAGCCGCGGAAATCGTCTTATGTGGGATTCACCGAATGCCATAAACCATCCCGTTAACCATGACTGGTGGCCATAAAAAACATCATCCCAGTCATAGGGGTATACCCTGGGCATATGATGGTTTATATCTCAATAAATAGTCATTTCCTAGAATCATTAATGATGTTTAATACACAATCTCTAATTTTCTAGGGTAAATCCTCTGTAAAATTATCCTCAAGTTGATTTGGCTGTGTCTGAAAACTTGGGATATACCCTGGGCATATGGGCATTTCATAGGGATATAATAACGAGCAATCAGCCAAGTACCGGAGTACCTGATTTTTTCTTTGACAAAGCCATACTTTATGACAATTCATAGTTTTATCCTATAGTTTATATCTGATTATAGTCATATATAGTACCTTATTTATTTTTACGACAATTCATAGTGGCTGCGGATGGCTGCTTCTCGCTGCGTCAACATCATAGGACCCTCCGGAACGCCCGCGCGGTCTGTGCTGCTTCTGCGGCGGAACCAGCCGGGTGGGGAGACCTGGAGATTTTTTGGGCTTTACCACTACCCTCTGGTAAACGTTTACATAACTATGGAAAATGACCATTTTGAATGGGAAATCTCACTATTTCTATGGCCATGTTCAATAGCTATGACTATTTCTATGGCCATTTTCAATAGCTTTTTGTAAACGTTTACCAGAGGGTAATGATCATGGGGATGTAAGTCAGCAACAAGTCAGGAAAATTGAGTTGTAACAAGCCAGTTACCCTCTGGTTATGTCAAACAGTTTGCTATTAAAAATTGCCATAGAAATAGTTGATTTATTTACCCATTAAAATTGTGATTTTCCACAGTTATGTTACTTTACCAGAGGGTATATAAGCAACATACTTTCTCTTTGGATATGGAAATTTTACCACTGATATCCAGAGATAAACATACCAAAAGATGAGGACAACTTCCCAAGGTTTCCCAGGGATTTTTGTCTACTCTACTTCTATGGTGGGCTTGTCACAGCGCACTGTAAACATTGGAGGGTAACCCTGGGGATGTTTAAGTCAGCAATACCCTCTGGTAAACTTAGAAAAAGCTATTGAAGCCATGGCCCAGTCGAAATAGTGGATTTTTCCATTAATAGCATGGTGATTTTCCATAGCTGTTTGTATGTTTACCAGAGGGTAAACATCCATTTTCCTATGGTTTTCCTATAGTTTTCCTATGGTTTTCCTATGGTTTTACCGCTAACCTACTAAAAATGGTGATTTTCCATTGTTTTTTCTATGTTTACCAGGCCGGGCCATCCAGGAAACTTGGGATCTGTTTAATCTATGTGTGATATTGATTGAGCTTTAAGCACTAAGAAATTGGACCAGAAAAGCCAGTCCAGACTGAGCAGTAAACCATCCCAATTTATACCCTCTGGTTATGTCAAACATAGCTATTGAAAATTGCCATAGAAATAGTGAGTTTTCCCATCGAAAATGGTGATGTTCCATAGTTATGTTAGTTTACCAATTTATACAGTTGCTCTAAGACATTTAAGACCAATTTTTCACCAATATCATCTGATAATCCGACATTTTTATGGGGTGTGCCTGAAAATAGGGCTTTCCCCCAAACTAATTGTTTTAATGGGGCACAGTGGTAATTAAGCATCAATTTTTTGGTGTACCTTATTTTCAGACAAACCGATATGTTGGGATACAAGCAGAAAAGGTATGGGATGTTTGGGTAAACTGAATGATGAGGTTGGGTAGTTTGGTACAGCTTCATCTTTTGTTTTTTTTTAAATTCGGTATATGCATGTCTATATATATTAACATGCACGGCGGGGAACCCTAGATGGCTAAGTTGACTTCAAACTGCTATAGTTAGTGGGTTCACCTCGTCTATGTATGTACATTTATTTATATTATTAATTTGTATTAATTGATTGATTGATTGATTGATTAATTAATTAATTAATTAATGTGTTTATTTATTTATTGTAACATATTTCAACCCGAGCAGCTATTCTACTTTTCTTTGGGTGCGTCCAATATTTTTTTTCTGCCGGTGCAATTTTTGGAGGGACCAGGAAATCAGCTATGTTAGACGCTAGCTCGGCCATCAACCATACAGGATTGTTCGTTTATTACAAGGTAGTGCCCCGATTTATAAGTTGGTTCAACAACCTATTAAGTATAGTTACATCCCACATAAACGCAACAATTCACCAAGTTATAAACTAAGTTAGCAAAGGATTGGGCATTGGGGGCACTACCTTTGTAAGGATTGTTGTAACTTCCGATTTCCTTTTGAAAACTGAGTAGGGGCTTTCTGGCCCACGCTCAGATGGCTCAGATGGACGGTGTTGTTGTCCCAGCTATAACTGGTTGGTGGTATGGAACATGGCTGGATTACTTTTCCATATATTGAGAATGTCATCATCCCAACGTTTGAAAAAATGTCATTATTGTCATGATTTACTGATTGGTGGTATGGAACATCTTTTATTTTTCCATATATTGAGAAGAATAGTCCCAACTGACTTTCATATTTTTCAGAGGGGTAGGTATACCACCAACCAGATAAGCATTCCTTTAGTTCGGAAAAAATCCAGCTTGCCACGTTACCAGAGGGACTATCTTTTCTTGATGACAATCTGCGGTTTCTTCATGTTCAACCACCAAAACCATGTGGCTTTTCACGGTTTTTCGGATGGTTTTCTTGGTCTTCACCCGGCGGAGGTGGAAGTACTTGGAGGATTACGACCGATCTTATCCTCTTCAAATGATTGTTGTAGGGGATAAGGGACGAAAGCAGGTCACTCAATACGCAGCAAGTCTCAACTCGCATGTTTGTAGGATAAAATCAGGGGTTCCTGTTCATTTTCCTTTCAAGCAGTCCATTGCATGTCATGTTTGGTACCATTGAGTGCTTAAAGCTTCAAGTTTGCCAGTTAATCCATTTCATGTCAAATTTCATGTTTTCGCTCGATTTTGCCACCCGTTTTTCTATTTTTTTCTGCTTACTTTGGAATCGCCGGGAAGTTAGGAGGTTATAATGCAGGTTATAACTCTACAAGTTTTTAATAACATAGTTTATAACCAGCTAACCTTCTGGTAACCTCATAACTCTATGCTAACTTCACGTTTTTTTCCGATGAGTTATAACTTTTTTAGGAGGTTATATCTAGGTTAGCATGTTGGAAGTGAAAGTTAGGAATATGTTAGGATGAAGTTAGGAAGTTAGTTTTTTATGTAAAAATGATAGGTTAATCTTCACGGCAGCAGTTCCATCCCCAAAGGTTGCGCATATAGATGACTTCTTCTGCTGCAATTTTGATCTATCAAGGGAACCGGGTTGCTGCATGGTGTTTGGACCTTTTCTTTAGCTGCGGCATGGCAGCGGCGCTGGAAAAGCATATTCTGGCATCCCAGAAATTTCTGGGAACAGTGAGACATTTACCTTCTTTCGCAGAGGCAAGAGATAAGCAACTGGAGAATGTCTTGAAGAAACTGAGCAAATCTCCGCTTCACGTGGAGCAGGCTGCGGCCTTGGTGGAGCGCTTGGATTCTTCCATATGGGGCTCCCACGTGGATACTCTGAAGTCTGCAGTGGTGTTGGAGGATGCATTAGAAAAAAAGAATACACCATTGCAAGATTATTTGGCTCTTCCCCACTACCTGACCACGGGCCTGTGGAAATCGTTGTCTGAAGATACGAGAGGTGTGGCCTTGGAAAAGTTGTGCAAGCATTGCAAGCTCTTGGGCTTAACGAATGCGTCCGAAGCCAGTCAGGCTATGATACTTCTTTTGGTCTTTGATTTAGAAGGCAAAATGCTGGGCACGCAACAGTGGCAAGTCACGCTGCGGGAGAAAGGCAACGTGCAGAAATTTTTGAAACAGCCAGCCGCGCAAGCTCCGCTGCCGCATTTGCTTCTCTTGCCGCAGTCGCGAGAGGAGTGTCCGGCAGAGCTGTTGACACGGGCCTTTGGGAACGATGTGCCGGTTCCATGCCAGTGGCCATATGAGGATCTCTTGCGACGCGCCAGGGATTGGCCCATGCGCTCCACGCACAGGTTAGCTCAAAGTTCTGCAGCTGACGCGATGCCTCTGGTCCATAGTGCATTACCCCATGCCGGAGGATCAGAGATGATGCAGCAAATGGGAAGTTTCGTTGCTGGTTTCTTGCAGGGGCAGAAGCCATCCGAGGAGGTGATGCTTCCTGGCTTCAAGTTATCGTCTAAAACGGATCGTCCGCCGGCGCCTCCAGTGGCTACGGTCCCGGTCTTGGCTTTGGAAGATAAGAAAGAGGAGGCTCCTGTGTCATCTGCAGCTGAAGTGTACCGGGAAAGTGGCGACGCAGCTCCGAGCGGGCAAGGAGCCGTGGCTGCGACGTTGGCGGCTTTGCAGGCTGATGTGCAGCCAGAAGAAAAGAGCTCCAAGTCTGCGAAGAAGTCCGGAATGAGAAAGCCAGCAAGTGTCAGCAAAGTTTTGAAGAAGCGACCTGCGGCTTCTTTGCGCCGTCCCGCTGCTGCAGCTATGCCTAAAGCGGACGAGGGTGAGTCGCGCGACGCGCGGCGAGAGAGGCTGATCAAAGAAAGGGTGCCAAAGGACATGCAACGCAAATACCGTGGCGGTTGCAGCAAGTGTTACTATAGGAAGGGATGCACTCTGTCTTGCTGGACTTATCGCGGCTACAACATGAAAGAATAGGCGACAGACATGCGGCTGGGGTCAAAAAGGCGTTTGGGTCTTGTGTTGGAGATTATACTTATATACCTAAATTTTGCAAGCCCATTCCTGACTGATTTCCTCATGACGTTTATCTGAGTTTGGCATATTTGAATTGCGTGTCATGTCTGCAGCCGTGTTTGCCTGGAACGAACGTAGAGGGCACGCGTGGCTGACGGAGCTGACGTGAAGGCCGGGCGGGAGTGGTTGCATGCCTTTTTTTTGTTTCTGGATATCCTGATATAGTAAGATGTATCAAATGTATACATCGAGATTAATTAAATACTTTTCTGCCTGCATTGCTCTCCCGCTTCACGTTGCGCTGTCAACGCCTGGCTTGCCGTATCTGCTGCGAAAGTGCCGCCCTCCCATGCGGAGGATAGCAGCCGCGTCCCACGTGGGCACATTGTCTCCTACGGGGAGATAAAATTCTCCTACGCGGAGGATGGCAGCCCTGTCCTATGTGGACGGAAGGATACCTACGTGGTGACGAATTCCTCCTACGTGGAGGATTGCAGCCGCGTCCCACGTGGACATAACGTCTCCTACGTGGAGACGAAGTCCTCCCACGCGGAGGATACCAGCCGCGTCCTACGTGGACACACTGTCTCCTACGTGGAGATAAACGCCTCCTACGCGGAGGATTACAATCTCGTCCCACGTGGACGCAAGGTTTCCTACGTGGAGACAAGCTCCTCCCACGCGGAAGATAGCAGCCGCGTCCCACGTGGACGCAAGGTTTCCTACGTGGAGACAAGCTCCTCCCACGCGGAGGATAGCAGCCGCGTCCCACGTGGACGCAAGGTTTCCTACGTGGAGACAAACTCCTCCCACGCGGAGGATAGCAGCCGCGTCCCACGTGGACGCAAGGTTTCCTACGTGGAGACAAACTCCTCCCACGCGGAGGATACTAGCCGCGTCCTACGTGGACACACGGTTTCCTCCCTGGAGACAAATACGCCTCTGCTAAGGAGGATGCTATGTCCCATGACACAAGATCTCCTACGTGGAAAGTGCTGTTTTCCTTCTGGCGGCCTTGCCCTGCTCTGTCCCGTCTGTACGGTGATATATATATATTAGTTACGATATCTAAATATATATATATATATATGCATTAACATATTCCACATATAGATGTTTGATCGCATGTGTGCATGCAGATAGCTGCAGAACGCGTCACTCTTTATCTTGTTCCACACCAGCGGTATATATGCTATGGATTTCACCCTCGTATTCTATATATGCCATTGTTCCGCAGGTCACCATGGCGGGCGGCGGCAAGAGTGTCAGGTCGCCCTTCTCCGTGGCGCGCAAGGAGCCAAGTGCGTCCAGAGAGGATTCTTCCTCCGAGGAAGCCGTTCACTCTGAACCCGCAGAGGCGCCAAGGGAGGGCTCGAAAGCAAGGGGTCGCAAGCGTTCCCACGCGGAACATGGCCGAAGTGCCAGAGCCAGGAGACACAACCGAGACCCAAGCCATTCGCATAATGTGCAAAGAAACCTGAGGAGGAAGCAGCGAAGGGAAGGCGACCGAAAGCATAGACGGCATAGGCGAACTCATCGCAGCAGGCGGGCGAGAAGCGCGACACCTGACAAGCGCCGACGCAGTGCAAGTTCTGGACGGGGTGCAAACGCGGCCAGGCCGCCAGAACCTTCGAGTGGACCATCGAAGACTGGAACCAAAAAATGTTCACATTGTTGGGCCGAGGTGACAGTGCAGCCAAGTGGGCGCGCTCAGCACCAGTGGAGCAATCGAACGTGTTTGCAATGGCAATTTTACAACGAAATGGACGCCGAGGCCAAGAAAAAGCACGACACCGAGGCGTGGAACAAGGCCAAGGAAGCAGCGGCCGTTCTCTACGAGAGGAGGCGATGGGTTGCGGCCCCGCATGCAATCGAAGATGAGATGCCGCGCGCGCCGTTGCCGCCGGTCATGCTGCGCAGCCGCTCTTCCATTCGCGCCGCGGCGCCTGCTGAGATGGAAGAGGTCGCCGTGGAAGAAGAAGCAGAAGGACCGCAGCGACCTTCGAGGTCATGCCCCGGCGGTCAGGCTATGGGTGCGTCTGGATCTACGGGATCCAAAGGACAGGGGCACGGCCCACCCCCTGCAGAGCCGCCTGCCGTGAAGACAGAGACACCTGGCTCCAGCCAGAAGCAGCAAATCGTGATCAATATCACGAGTTCTTGAGCTGCAGGTGCTGCTTCTCGGACAATGCAGAGATCCGCTGCTGTGACCGAAGCGAAGAAAAAAGGTCTCCGTGGGTGCCGTTGCATGGTTTTGGATGTCTTAATATGAGCTTGTATTTTTTGTGTTTTTCCGCATCGGAATGTTATAACATCTGAATGCTACTTCGATCCTTGCCGTCCATAAATCTCTTGACAAGTTGTATGACGGCAGATTTGGGACACAGGGCTCAAAACAGCGTTGCATCTCCCGGGGCTATAGAACATGGCGCACACGACAATATTGGAGGCGTCTGCGTCTTGCCGACAGGACGCCTCATTCCGGGTACCTGTGCTCAAGCTGCGCTCCATATATATATATATTATATAGATATATATGTCCATGCACAGATAATCAATCTCCCACGGCAATCGGTGATTGCGGATCTGCCTCTATCATAGCCATTTTGGCACAAGCAATGAAAATGGAGACAAAGAAACGGAAAGTGTTGGACGGGACCCATGCTGAACAGTTTGCGGCATTGCGCCAAGTGTCCGATTTGACACCAGCCGCATGTTGCAAAGTCATTAGTGTCTTGCATGACGGCCAAGGAAAACGAACATGTGCCAGGCGGCAACACTCTCATGCCACGTCTTTCCCTTGCCTCCGAAGTCTTAGCGTGCCTGGAACAGAGGATGAGACGTCAATCAAAGTTCCATGCATGAGTTTACCTGCATTGATAGAAGCCAAAGTGCAGGCGTGCCCACTGTATAGAGAATCATTGCGCAGGGCGTGCCAGAAGCATGAAGGCCAGCTGACTCTTCTATGCTACGCTGATGAAGTGACTGGCGGAAATGTGCTAAGTGCACCACAAGCTCGCAAAGCGAACCTAGTGTATCTGAGCTGGTTGGAATGTCCTTTGCTACACTTAGAATCGCAATGGTTGACGGCAAGTGTCTGTCGCAGTGCTGATATTGCAGGAATGCGAGGGGGTATGGCTGGCCTGCTGACGTCGTTGCTTCGCTTCATCAAAGATGAATGCAAGCATGGTTTCCCAATCGCTTGGGGGTCCGAAGACGTCGACCTGATCCAAATCAAAGAAACCTACATCTTAGCTGACGCCGAAGCCATTAGGAGTACCAGTGGCTGGAAGGGTTCAGCAGGGGTGAAGCCATGCATCCATTGCCTGAATGTCTGCGCGCTCGGCAAGGCGATCGGAGCCGAAGCGCACGTAGACATATCCTCATGCGACATTGCCCGCTTCTGGCCGCAGACATCAGATAGCATTGCAGAAGCCGCACGCCGCTTGAGCAATGCAAGAACTATCTCGGAGAAAAAAGTTTTGGAAAAGGCGTTCGGTTGGAACTGGGACAACTTTCAAGCAGGACCTCTTTTGTGTCCGCGGCTCAAGGATTGGGTGAAGATTGACAATGTGCTGTACGACAGCATGTAAGGGTTCTGCTTGCAGATCCCGCTGTTTTTGCTGCCCTGGTGAAGCTTGCGTAACGCACGCGTGTTGTGCACTGCATGCGTGGCTGAGGCTTGGCACTGATGTCTGTTTGTGTGGTTGGGTGATCTTTGTCAGAATTGATGTCAGATGCCTGGGCCGCGTTTGAGTGTTGGAATATATGCCTGTGAAGTTTCCTGACAAAACTTGGCTTGAAACAAGTTTTAAAATTTTTGAAACTTTTAATGGGAGACTTACGGTGCATGTTTCACTCTTTGATTTGATGATGTCAATTGTCTGAAAAGACAACTCTTTCAAACAAATACGTCTAAAGCGGTTTTTGGGTTGAACGTTTGTTTTGGACTCTTTGGAATGCGGTAACATTTTGGCTGCAAGAAACTCAGCTGATCCAAAGGTGATTTTCGTTCAGTGCATGTTTTCCCAGACCTTTTTCCATAGGGGATATCCTGCGCTGACCTTGACCCGTCGCTTGCCGTTGCAGACTGGCCTGGAACTCTCTGTCTTTCGATTTTATTGTGCTGCAATCAGAACTTGTATCCTGGAATTTTTGGACACTTCACAGTGGTATCAGTGGTGCTGTACTAGCGTGGTTTCATTTCTTCGCTGCATTGGTGCCAGGCAAGTTACCACTCCAAGGGTTGCAATACAGTTTGGACCCAGATCGGATCCAGGTGACTCTACTGATTCAGGCAGTTCACAGTCCAGTCCCATTGCACTGGAGCATGCGCCGTAGACTCAGTGTCACTTCACGTGGACACATTGCTATCAAGCCTCTTGTGATTTCATCTTCAACAGGTTGGTATTCACATTTTTGCTGCTTAATTTTTGGCACTGGTTTTCTTTGTGGTGCAGTATGGATTCTATGGCTCCTGCTAGCCTAAGTGATGGTGCGTCTCCTACCTCTCCGCTTCAAGATGCAGGGGAAGGAACGGAAGCTGGTTGGGACCTATTACCATTGAATGAAGTGAACAATGAGTTAACAGGTGATTCAAGTAGCTTTCAACTGCAAGACGGTGACAACAATTTTGCAGGCATTCCTAGATTCTTGGGTGAGCCCAGTGCCATGCAGGAACATTCCAAACGCAGGAAGTCTGATTCTGCAGGCGGCGCTGGTTTGACAAGTATCAGTGTAGCTACACTGCATGGAGCCCAGCTTGCTTTTTCTGCTGCAGTTGACACAATTGCCGATGAGTGCAACATGAAATTTGACGCTTGCAACAGATTGGAGTCTCAGATTGGCGATGCAGTTTTGAGATTACAACGCAAGGAGTCATTTAAGATGCCTTGGGATGAAGTGCCACACAAACAGTTTTGGAACCATGCAAAGCCTGTGGATCTCTTCAAACTGCCTTTGCTGGGAAGGTTTGACAAACCTGCTTTCCACCCTGTGGCTCAGATGGTGGAGGACCAGCTCAACCAATGGGCAAGTGACAGGCCTTTTGCCAGCAAGAGGCTTTTAGCTGCGAGGTTTGCCCAGACAGATGATGCTCTACTGGCAGGGGCCTTGAGGAAGCTGCGCAACATTCTTCTGTATCATCCAGCTGACTCTCAGTTAGGACGTGCGCTGTTGGACAAAGCTGGATCTTTGATTGCTGAAGATGATTTACAGAGATCGCTGCGAGACAGTGTGTCAAGCAAGGCAGTGGGCACAGTCGTGAAGCGCATTTCTGATTACAACAAATTTGCTCAGTTTTTGGTTTCGGATTGCCACAAACGACCATTGCAGCCTAGTGAGTCTGACTTTTACAGGTATCTCTGTCACATGAAAGAGACTGGAGCAGGAGCTACCTCAGGTGCCACATTGTTGCAGGCCTGGTCATTTTTCAGGTTCACATTTGGTGTGGACGCTGGAGATCAAGGAGCTTTGGTGTCAGGGCGAGTCAGAGGCGTGGTGAATATGATGTTCTCTTCCAAACGCAAGCTGACCCAAGCACCACCTATTCCTGCAGACTATGTGTACCGGATGGAACGCTTCCTACAAACCAGCTCTGACAACAGGGTCCGAACAATTGTTGGATTTATGCTATTTTGCATATACAGTTGCTCTAGATTCGGAGACGCAGCCAAGGGAGACCCTCGGGAGCTCCAGTTCCAGGTTGCTGCATCCTCGGACTTGACCCTAGTCGAAATTGGGCTCAGCAGTTACAAGACAGCCACTGGTGAGAGGCGGGCTATTTTGTTGCCGCTGATTGCATTGGGGTGTGGCTTGGACGAAAACAGTTGGGCCATGGCTTGGAGAGCAGCGCGGAAGGCTTCTGGTGCTGACACCATGGGCCACTTGATGAGTGCTGATTCTCAGTTTGCAGAAGTTTGGTTGGACCGCCGAATGACTACTGCCGAAGGCAGCTACTGGGTCAAAGATGTCTTGGTGATGCTGGGAATGGATGCTGTTAGCGCCAATGCTTACAGCTCCCATTCATTGAAGTCAACATGTCTTTCATGGGTGTCAAAAGCTGGCAACATGACCCTCCAAGAGAGATTATGGTTGGGGCATCATGAGACTGAAGAAGGCAAGATGGCAGTTACTTATGCCAGGGACGCCCTCGTAGCTGCGATCATCAAACTGCGCTTGGTAGTGGAAGCGATCAAAAAGGGTTTGTTCGACCCTGATTTGCCAAGAGCCGAACGTATTGCGCAGGCAACTGGAGCCTCCTTTGACTCCCGGACGATTGCTGAGAAATCTCACATCGAAGTCGAGACCGAAAATCGCCTGGCTGCAGAAGAGCTGCATTTTGCAGCTGACATGGCTGGTTCGGATGTGGATGATGCAGCAGCAGTTGGTGAAACGCCCATTGCTTTGCCTGGTGAGAGAGTTGCACATGACCGCAACCCATTTCCTCCGATCGCCCCTGCGTGCTGTGTCAAGCACCGACTGTCAGGAATCGTTCACATGATTTCGGATGTTGAGAAACTGGCTTGTGGCAGGCGGATCACTTGCAATATGATTCCAATGGAAGATTCTTTTGGCGACCCTGGCCAGATGGAGTTCTGCGAACAATGCAGAGCTGTGAGCGGTTTATGAATAAACCTTTCTGTCACAAAAGAAAAACAGGGCTCGTGTGAAATTGAATTGGACCATGTTTGCATGCGAAATGTTATTCTCAATTTTGGTAATTTTGAAACAATTATTTTCATGAGCTTCCGTGTTGCGTCGTGATCATGTGACGTGAGCGTTTTGAACCTTGCTGGATCTGTCTGATTTTCCGATTTTGTACATATCTCACGAAGGTGGTGAAGGTGCAGGTGGCCATTTGATTACACTGATGAATGATTTGTGTTTTGGTTGCCGTGATTTTGAATTTCAATAAAGCGTTGGGAAGTCCATGGGAATGAATGGACGCGTCAGCCCCTTTTCATGGCTTGGAGGAATTTATCCAAGGTGAGACGCTTGAATCAAGACTGTGGCAATCATGCATTGCAACTCTCATCTGGGTTGGTGATTTTTCTGCAGCAAGTTTTGACTTGACTGGTGAATAGGTTTAGCACTCGACATATTTCAGGGATAGTTTCAGGCTTTAACTTGTTCCTGTGAAGTCATCAGCACTGTTTCCACGAA